TGAGTAAAATACGAAAAAAAATACCAATATCAACATCTTTGAAAATTAAGCCATAATGGACCACAGCGCGTACACCGGAAAGTAGTTTGAATTCAACCGTAAAAGAAAAATGATATAAACCGTATATATATAGCGACGCGTATATCACGATGTTATATTATAGTTTCCCGAGATACAGTTTCCGATTTATTTTATAATCAATTTTCATTATTAATATCGAAATAAAAACTTTTTTATAGGGTTTAGGGGTTTTAAATGTGCGAGAATACGATGAAAAAATGATTCACGCAAAAGTCCGCCAGGGGATTTTTTTTTATTTTACATTATTTTTACGATTATTATATTATTACTGTTGGTTTTTACGAGTTACGCTACTTGTGCCATGAATAAACTACAGTACACCAAGCTGGACCAACGGTGGAAAAATGTTAAAAACGAGATGAAAATGATATTAAATTAGATTCTTATGGTTTTCCTAGGGGGTTATTTCGATGACTGGTGCCAGCAGAAAAAAGTTTATCAGGATTTCTGTCAAAAATACGCATCATTATTCCTAAACAAATACATGACGTAATAGTATAATTATTAATTACACACATATAGTACTCGTATATAGCCATATAGGTACATGCTACTGCAGTGTAATTACACATTTTTAAATTAATTTCATTATTATTTTTCAAAAAGTTATTGAGATAATGCCCATTTTCTCAGTAATATCATTAATATGTACGAGTAACTGCCAGGGTTATCAAAACGTTTAAGCAAACAAAATGATGAACACGCGTTTCAGAGTTTATGTAAATAAGTAGAAGATATATTATTTTAATTTAGTTTAAAGAATATAAAAAAAAATTGGCGTACACTAAAAAAGAAATAACACTTTTCAAACTTAATCACATAAAGTAAATTAATGATAATTTATAATACAACCATAGGCGAATCTAGGAATTCATAGCAGGGTGTGCCTTCACCTCAAAAAGACCCTCTGAAGTTCAAAATACCTCT